CCTCCCCCTCCTCCTCCTCCTCCTCCTCCTCCTCCTCCTCCCCTATTCCTCTTCCTTATAGATAACTCCTCCCTGCCGCACCTCGAGGCCAGTTATTAGGGCGGGCCGGGCATTTCGCCTGAGACTTCCTCACCCTTTATGACCTTGAAGCTTAAACAGTGGCAACAGCTTTACAGATGGAGGAGGGCGGGTTGTTTTCAAAATGTGGCTCTCGCCTGAGCGCCGCGCGCATTCGTTACAAACATGTGAACGAGCTTCACGGATTGAAAGCGGGTGGTTTCCAAAATCTGGTTATCGCCTTTGGCGCCGCGCACATTCATTTTAAACATTTGCAAGAGTTTCACGTATTGAGGGCGGGTGGTTTTCAAAATGTGGCTCTCGCCTCAGCGCCGCGCACATGCGTTTAAAACAATTGAAAGAGTTACACGGGTTGAGGGTGGGTCGTTTTCAAAATGTGGCTCTCGCCTCAGCGCCGCGCACATTCGTTTTAACAGTTTGCAAGAGTTTCACGGATTGAGGGCGGGCCGTTTTCAAAATGTGGCTCTCGCCTTAGCGCCGCGCGCATTCGTTTTAAACATTTGCAAGAGTTTCACGGATTGAGGGTGGTTCCTTTTCAGCGGCTCTCGCCTCAGCGCCGCGCGCATTCGTTTGTTCGGTTTGCAAGAGTTTCACGGGTTCCCACGATCAACCCCTCCAAAATGGCGTTTTGGAAGGATTCAGGATTGTGCGGGCGCAACAGTTATGTTGATTCGCTGTGTTGAAGTCTCCAAAATGGCGTTCTGGCACGGTTCCGGATCGTCAAGACGCAGCAGTCAGGTGGATACGTGGCGTTGAAATTCCGACAACAATGTTTTAGCACGCCTCAGGATCTTCAAACTGATGTCTTCCAACGAGGCAGTTCCCTCAATGGCAATGAACCGTTCTAGGGCCCTCTGAAGAGGGAGCTCGGAGCTCAGAGGGAGGGTTAATTCCAATATCGTTGATGACTCTTGGGTTTCCACTGGTCCTCCTCCTCCTCCTCCTCCTCGCTCCTCCTCCTCCTCCTCCTCCTCCTCCTCCTCCTCCTCGCCCCTCCTCGCCCATCCTTGCTCCTCCTTGCTTTTCCTCGCTCCTACTCGCTCTTCCTCGCTCCGGTCCGTTTTTTTGTTGTTGGGGGGTCTCGGGTAATTGAAATATATGCATGGGAGTATCGCCACAGTTCACTACACGAGTTTGCCCGTTGCAGGTTGGTTCTCGTGGCGTTCCTGCTTTACTTGGCGACCTGTTGATTCCCATTGCAGTGGCAGCCGCGATGATTTGAGATCTTGTGGTCGCACTTTCCTTTCCTACAAAAGCCAGCGTTTGCTGTGCCGTTCGACACGTTCCTGTGCGATACGTTTCCTTGCTTTGCTCAGCTGCTAGCATTCTGTTGCAGTTCAGTGCGCTGGGTGGCGTTGCATTGCTTGGCGTTGCATTCACAAGATGCCATCACGGAGCCTGGCCTCGGGGTGCCAGCGACACCGGCCTTCGCGCACACTCATAATAGCTAAGTCCTTCGGGGGGCCCTGGCTTGGCAAAGATCTCTGCGCAAGCCACTCTCCCGTGTCATGCGTTCCAGACAGAGCCTCGCCTTCGAGCAATCGAGGGAGTTGACACCTCTTCCTCGGCGGTAGGCGGCAGAAGGCCAGCGGAAGGCGGCGGAAGTCAAATGAGGCCGCCTCCGCTGGCAGCCAGCGGAAGGCCAGCGGAAGCTGGCGGAAGCAAAGTTCGTTGCCCAAAGAGATGCCCAATTTTGGAGGAGCAGGGTTTCGGGAGCCCGCCATGTGAGCCCCTGTCCACCGATGGGCGTCCTTCTGACTCTCGCCCCCTCCTCGGCAACCCAGGCGCTAGTCTCTGTTCGGTCTTCGCGAGCGGGTGCGGGCTGGTGGGGATCTACTGGGGGTGCTGCTGCATTCGATCAGGGCGCTCGGTCCTTGACCGAACCCCTACCCCTTCTCCCCATCCCGCCATCCCTCCTCGTCTTCTCCCCTCCGTCGTCCCCTCAGCCCTTCCACCCTCCCCGGAAGGCCCCCGAATCGCCTGGAGCTTCCAGAGTGGAGGGAGGCTTCGACCTCCAGATCGGATGTCCACCTCCAGAGCGGGGTCCGGGACCCCAACGTGGGGGGAGTCTCCTTTATTATTCTGGTTTCAGAGGTGACCGAAATATTACCACCAACACCGAAATCGAGGATCATCTCCCCCCTGTGGAGGTAAACCCCCTGCGTTGGTGTCGGTGCCAATTCCCAGGCCTCCAAGCTTGGGGCCCTCTCCCAGACCTCCGACGGACTGATCTGGCCCACCCGGCTGCAGACATCCTTCGAGTTCTGAATCTCGGCCGCCGTCTCGGGAAGCTGGCCTGCATGGGCAGGGCTCTCGTGATGCGGTTGCCTTACGATCGGGGGCGGAAAAGAGGGGGTGATGACTAGGGGGGGGGGATTTCACGGCGCGGGCCATGATTTTTCCTCAGATTTCATGGCGCCTCTTCTTATTTCATTACGTCCCAGGCCCCCCCCGCTGGGCCGCGCAAATGCCGCCAGTCATGATTTGCACCCCCCCCTCTTGGACACCCCCCTCTTGGCCGCTCCCGATACGAGAGGCAGGCGAGGCAGGCGAGGCACGCGCCGGCGAGTGCTTCCGGGGAGTCTCTGCAGGAAGCTCCGCGCCGGAGAGCCCGGCGCCGCGCCGTGCCCGCCAGACAGCCTGGCGCCTGCGGCGGCCTTCTGGCTCCCCCCTCGCCGCGGGCTCAAAGCCCATCCTTTGGTCCTTGGCCCCGGCAGGCAGGCGGCGGGGGGGGGCGAGGCTCGAGGTTCTGGGCTCGAGAAGGTTGTTTGCCTGTCTCGGCCTCCTGGAGCCTGTGGGAAAAAAACACACACACACGCACACACACACACACAAAACACACAACAACACACAAAACATACAAAACACACACACAGTGTGGGGAAAAACCACACACTGTGGGAAACAAAACACACAAAACACACACTTCCGCACACTTCCGGGCCCCAGGACAGTCAAAAAACGGATCCGGGGTGGAAAATTGCATCAGATGAGCCCCGGGAAGGGTCGACCGATTTTGACCCGATTTGCCCGCACCCTTCCGCCTTTGACCATTTTTCTCAGAGGCCATACAGGTCAGCCCCCCTGGCCGCCTCCAATCTCCACCCCCCCCAGCGTGCTGGACAAATCATGCCGTTCTTGGAGTAGTTGTCCTCCAAGAGGGGGAGAAGTGTCAATGAGACGCTGCCGTGGAGGGCCCGTCCGCGCGCCGCTCCATCGTCCTTGTCCGAAAAAAGCACCGTGCCTCCCCAGCACTGGCGCGCTGACGGGCTCCCCCCCAGCGGCGTGTCATCGATACTGTTTTTGCTCAGCCAGTCCGTGGGCATGTGTCAACATGTTTCGGGGGCTACCAGAGGCTCTCGGGCCCCCGGGTGCTCCCGACCAGCCTCGCCTCGTCGCGAGCTCTCCTGGGAGCCGAGGCTCGTCCCGAGCGGCCGCGTGAGGTCTGAGCCCACGGCCCGAGCGAAGGCAACCGTGGGCGGGACGAGGATGTCCGTTGGTCGGGCTGGGCCTCTGCAGACCCGCTACAGGCCCCCGGGGGGCCTGTAGGAACAACACGCGGCGCGGAGGAGTCGGTGGAAAGATGGGGTCGTGAGCTTTGAGCCTTGCGGGCTACAGTCGAACCTCATAGCAAGGACGCACGGATGTCCTTAGGGTGCCTTTGCTTCCTTTCCTCTGCGGCCCGTCCTTTGCGGTTCTCGCTGGCCAGCCCTTCAGGGTGTTGGCAGTCCGCCGCCCAGAAAGGCCAATTTCGGCGTCCAAGGCCCTTGCGTCCTTACCGCCCGTCTTTCCTATCGATCTCGACCGTTGATCGATCTGGGCGTCGGCGGTCTTGCCCTGGACGCCCACCAATGCCCGCCCCCCTTGGTAAAGGCCTGCCTTCTCTGGAGCCGGGGGGAGGGGCAGAGTGTCACTGACGCGCCGCCGCTGCAAGGGCGCCCTCGAGGGCGCGAAGTTATTCGCGCTTCGCGCTTCGCGCTTCGGCTCCGATTCCTCCTCGTCCTCCTCTTCTCCCCTGGGAGGCGGCGCGAGAGCGCGAAGTTATTCGCACTTCGCGCTTCGCGCAGCGCGAAGCGCGAAGTTGGGAGCCCTTGCCGCTGAGGGCACGCTCTGGGAGACGAGCGCATGCCCTTCAGCAGCGACGCGCCGATGGGTTCCCCCGCGGCGGCGTGCCCCTGGTTCAGGAGGAGAAGAAACACACAGACGCAATTCATCCTCGATTCCCCTGAAAATATCGGAAACTATGGGAAGTGGGTGGGGGGGGAAGACAGAAACCCAGAACATATGGGAAACTATGGGGAATAGTTGTATTTGTGTGTATTGATTTGTGTGAATTTGTTTGTGTGTATTAATCTGTCGCGTCCGCTCCCCCGCGGAAGAGCCGCCACCACGGGCGGTCGAAGCGGCGAGGGCGCCGTCCCCCGAGCCGGGCTGCCGCCTCCACGGCGCCCTCGCCCGCTCGGCCCGTCGTCCGTGCTCGGCCCGGCCCAGAGGCCTCGGCATCGCTCGGACGTGTGCTTCTTTTCTCGGCGGGGATTCTTAAGGAGCATCCTGGAGCATCCTGCGAAAAGGCCACACATGAAACCGAAAAAAGCACAGGGAATGGATGTCCGAGCGACGGGGAGAGATCTTTTGCGTCCTCACCTCGGAGCGCGCCAGCTGTGCACACACACACACAAACACACACACACACACCGCCCCTGGCCGGGCCAATCCTGGGCCCAGGATCGATGCACATTCAAGCAGTGGCGAAGCGTCCTGGCCTGCCCAGAGGCCCACCAACGAGTGTTCTAAGAACCTTGTGTGGTTTGCACGGGAGGTTCTCAGAACACTTCTTGCTGGGGCTGTCTTAGTTGAACGCATTGGCTTCATGTTCTTCAGGAGGGGAAAAAACACAGAGACACAATTAATCGTCGATTCCCAGGAAATATGGGAAAATATGGGAAGTGGTGGGGAAGACAAAAGCCCAGAAAATATGGGAAAATATGGGGACTACTTTTTTGGGGTTCCTTTATTTGTGTGTCCTGGGGCCCCTTCAGTTCTAAGAACATTGTTCTTGTTCTGGCTCAGGAGGGGTGCGCCAATCCCGGGCCCAAAGGTGACCTGGCCAGGATTGGATGCAGGCATATAGCTTCGAAGACTTGGCATCGCTCGGACGTGTGCATTTTTCCTTCGGCGAGGACCATCGAGGAGCATTCTTGATCTTTTGGGGGGAAAAACCACGCACGAAACCGAACAAAACACAGGGAATGGACGTCCGAGCGATGGCCAGAAGGGGAACTGCACAGACATGAGCTTTCGGAACCCCACCCGAATCCCTCGGATCGGGGCTGGGCCCCACTGGCGCTCTCCGCGTGCCAGGGAGCGGGGGGCCAGCGCCGATCCGAGAAATCCGCGCGGAGCTCCGAAAGTGTATGTTTACATGTCGCTCTAAGAGCTGGCGCCCTCCCATCACCCCGTGTCCTGATGCCCGTGGTTCACTGTGTAGTGGACAGTGCCGAGAGGGTCCAACCCCTCCCTGACTCCAGAGCCGCCGTGCTTTGGCTGATGCTCCTGTCAGATCTGCATCTCGGAGGATGCATCCCGGAGGATGCAAACAAGTAGCGCGGACATTTCCGCTTCAGATGGATCAGGCGGAAATGTATGCCAAAGTGTTTTGGATGCCGTTGACGGAAGAATTTGTGCAACTCAAGATTGGGAGCCATTTCGCATGACCTCCCTTCACCCCCTGGCCTTAATATTGAACAAGCGTTCCGTGCGAAACGGGGCCGGAAAAATCTGGAACCCAGCATCTCGAACGCAACACTTGCCAATGTTAAGGCTTGGCGTGGAGGGGGGGATTTGGTTCTTTCTAGTTCGGGTGTTGTTGCGCAGTTTTTCTTTCAATCGAAATTTCCACAACTTCCTGGACTATTTCCGCGAAGCCTTCCACAGAGTAGGGCGGAAGTCTACAAAAGCAAGGCGGGAACAGCGGTGGCAAAGTATGGCGAAAGTCGACATCAAAGGAGCTTGCAGAGGTGGGCAGGCATTCAGGGGCGGCCTAACCCACCCCTGGCAAAGCATCCCCCTCCGTGGCGTCCCTCGCGCCTCGCCCCGAGACGTATACGTAACGATGCGGCCGGAGGGAAGCTTGAAGGGCGAAGATGACGTCACGGAAGGTGACGGCTTGCCAGGGCTCGGTCAGGCCGCGCCCGAGACACCTTTCCGCCCTGCTTGCCAGCTCGCCCGCGGCAGGCCGGATCTGGAGCCGGGGCCTTCCTCGAGGCGGCCCGTTTGCCGGGGGGCCCCTGCCGCAGGCTCGGCGCCGCTGCCCGGGCGGTGGCCACCGTGCTGACGTTCCCCATATCGCGCGCCAAGGCCCGGGGAGTGCCCGGGTCCCTCCCCATGCCGTCCTGCCTCCTCCGCTGGTCACTCTCCAGGCCCTGCCCCCGAGGAGCGCCCTGGTTTCTATCCGCTACGCTCACTGGGCTTGATTTGTCGCGCATGGCGCCTAAGTCGGAGCGCTGTTTCTTTCCTAGCTCAGGAACGCAAGGGCCTCGCCGCTGATGTTCGCCTAACGCCACAAAGGGTCCAGAAGTACGAAGGCACTTGAAGACCTCCAGAAAGAACGAACCAACGAGGCTTCCAGACTGGAATGAAAAGCACGCATCCTGGATGGGGGGCGGACCTGCGTTTTGGAAGTTTTCGAGCCTCTTGGGAAGAGGAGGAGGAGGAGGAGGAGGAGGAGGAGGAGGAGGAGGAGGAAGTGAGGGGGAGGAGGAGAGGAGGGGGAGGAGGAGAGGAGGACGGGGAGGAGGCGGAGGACCCGCGGCACGCAAAAGGAGGCAGGGTCAGGGAGGTAGCCTCGCGAGAAGGCATTCCGCCTCCTACAACCCTCGTCAAAAATAAACTGAGGGATTATGTTTTCGGTGATTGTATGGTCAGCGCTACTCCAATGCTGACGCTAGATATCTGACGTGGACGCAAGGGCTTCAAAAATCCGACGACCCCGCCGCAGCATTGAAGAACGCAGTTTCTAACAAGTGCCCGAGAAGATCGACCGTCGTGATTTCCAACTTCGTTTCTGTTTATTTTTGGCGAGGCTTGTAGGGGGGTTGGGGGGGTGGGGGGGGCGCATGGCCTTCAGTCGGCCGGCCCCTTCAAGAGGACCCCGCCTTCTCAGAAGGCCGCCCCCCTCGCCGTCCAGTGGAGGATGAGGCGGAGTCGCAGGAGGACCTACTCTCACCCGTCGGCAGGGGGACGGCCCAGGGTCGTCACGGGAAGGGGTTATCCTCGAATAGTGCAGTCTCGGCCCCGCTCGACAGGCGTTGACGCAGGCGAAGCTGGCCACCGGCTTTCTCTCCGCATTTCGCCGCGTCGTGGAGCAGGAGGGTGCCATGGCGCTGTACAGTGGCCTCGCGCCAGAGCTTCTTCGCGGGATGACGCAGGCCGCTGTGATGTTCATGGTCATGGAGCGCCTGCGCGCTATGGTTCGGCGCAGGCTCCTGACCGAGAAGGCCTAGTCGCGCGCTGGTGTGGCTGCGCAGTCGCTGCGAGTATGGCTTGCTCCCCAAACAGTGATTGAACGTATGGTTTCTCACGCGTTCCCCAAGCTGTGATTGCATTCAGTGGTTTTTCTCCAAGCAGCGCTTGCACTTAGGGGTTTCTTGCTCATCAGGAATTGGCCTAAATTGTCGGTATGGCGGCTCCGTGCTCGCCGTCGCCGCCCCGTCGCCGCCTCGTCGCCGCCCGTCATCTGGGCCTGATTGTCGGTCTGGCGGCTATGTTGTCGCCGCCGCTGCCAAGTCGCCGCCCAAATTGCACATCGCAGATAGCACCGCGTACAGTGCACTTTATAAGATGCACCACATCGCTTGCACGTAATTGATTTTCATGAACAGGAACTGTTCTAGGATCTATCACCCCTCCGAGGGCGGAATTATCCGCCCGCCACTTCTTATTGCAACTACATATGATTATGCGCCATCGTCTGAGTTCATTCCATCCCAGCCATGCTGGGTTTGACCCCCCCTCCTTCCATCCTTTGCAAACCAAATCATGCGCACGCAGATCATCCGTTTGAAAGAATCTCTGGCAACAGATGGGACGAAACCCACATGCGAGCGTCACCGCGCGCGCACCACGAAATCCATCAAAAACCCGTGGGTTTCGCTAGGATGTCATAATCGAGTGTCCCGGAAACGTATCACAAAACATGACTTTGCAGCATCAGTTTTCGACAAAAGGCTGCGCGCGCGCTCTTACGAATTCTTCAGAAACCCATTAGTTTTCATTCAACATGTCATTCATTTCGACCAAACGGGCCTCTCGCGCGCCCATCTCTACAACATTCGAACGCCATTGCGCGCGTGTTGGGGGGTGCATGCCGGCCACTCGCGCGCGTCGGCCGCGCGCGCATGTCGATACGCTTTAAACAGAAATTGCCATCACCGACGCGAGGACACCATCATTGTCATCGGCAAGATCAACATCGGTGCCGTCGTTGGCATTGCCGTCGTCATCGTCATCGTCATCATCGCCACCATCGTCGATATTATGATAATCGTGTCTACCCTTGTCGACGTCGCAATGGTACTGCGCCCGTCCAAGTCACCGACTCGCACTGTCAGCGCGGCCTGCGAGACGTGCTGGGAAGTGCCCAGCGGTCAGCGCCACCGCGGTCGCGTCGGTCGCGCCAAACTAGCTGGCCGCTGTGCGCGCGAGCATGCGCGGGCCAGCGCGGCCGCAGACGTGCACCAGCCATCACCAAGCACTCACCGCAATCGCCGCCGCATGGGTTTTGCAAACCGAGTGGCGGGTGGCTGGGTAGCCTAGATTAGAAAGAGTGATATCCAACAAAAAACAGTGGGGGGTGCGAAAGGGAAGGGGGTCCCCCCGTGCACGAAAGGTGTGTGTGTGTGTGTGGGGGGGGGGGGCGAAGGTCCCCCCCCCCAGCATCTCCCGTCGTCCGTAGCGACGCATGAGGGGAGGCGGGGGGGGGGGAAGAGGGGGCCTCCCCCCCCCCCAAAGCATTCCCCGTGATGGAAGGGGGGGGGTGCGTGCACGAAAAAGGAGGTGCGGAGCAAAAGGCCCCCCCCTCCTCCTCCTCCTCCCCGGTTCTAGCATTGCCCTTCGTCTCGGGCGCACGACGGGGGGGGGGGGCACCTCCTCTGGCACCTCCCCTTCGTCCCCAGCACCACACGAAAGGGAGGAGGCGAAAATCCACCGGTGGAGAGCCGAACCTGAGAATTGCATCCAAACCAGGAGCAGTTCAGGGCGAAGCCCAGAAACCCTGAAAACGTGAAGGTTAGGACTAGGGGTTGGGATTCGGGTTCGGGGTACAGGTTGGGGGTTCTGGATAGGGTTAGGAATTAAAGGGTACGGCTTGGAGTTTGGGCCTGTCCAAGAACGCCTGGCGGCCGCTACACCTCTGGCTTGCTCGCGCTGGTTTTCGGTCATTTGCGATTGTGCCTGGCCGCTCCAGGGGTCGTCCGGAGGAGAGAGGGAGGATTACATCTTGAACGTGCGTGTATGTGTGTGTGCGTATGTGCCTCTGTGCGTATGCGAGCGGGTGCGCATGTGCGTGCGCGCATGCCCGTCCAGGGAAAGGAGGAGGAAGTGCATTTTGAATGTGCGTGTGCGCGCGTGTGTGTGTGTGTGTGTATGTGTGTGCGTGCGTGTGTGTGTGTGTGTGTGTGTGTGTGTGTGTGTGTGTGTGTGTGTGTGTGTGTGTGAGCGCGTGTGCGTGTAGGTGTGTGTGTGTGTGCCTGTGTGTGCGAGCGAGTGCGTATGTGCGTGCATGCGCGCGTATGTACTCATTCGAGGAGGGAGGGGGGAGTGCATTTGGACTCCGTGTGTGCGTGTTTGTGTGTGTGCGTTTTGGTGTATGCGTGTGTGCCTCTGTGTGAATGGGTGCGTATGTGTGTGCGCGCGACCTCGTCCAGAGGAGGCCATCAGTCAACGGAGGGAGGGGGAGGTTCCTGGTGAGCGGTGTTCCAAAAACTTCAGGACATAATTGTTCAAAACTATTCACATCCAATGACTTCCAAACACGAGAAGTTACCAGATTTGTCCGCGCGCGAACTCGTTGAAATCATGCGGAGACCAGGGTTTTCTAGCAACTCTGCCAAATCAGACCATGCGTGCCACGCGCGCGCATATCGAAAACATTGAACAACCAACGCGAATCCGATGATTCTGCCAACTATGACAGAGTGCGAGCCACGCGCTCGTCTCTGCGCGCGCATGTCAAAATCTGTTCAACACAAGCTGTATTCGAAGCATTTCATCAAAGAGGTGTTCAACTATATTCACCCCATTAATACTTCAATGGCAAATGCCAGGATTTCAAAGTTCTAGATGCTTCGCGTAATCCCACCAAGCAGGTCGTCTGTTTGGAGCCTGGCGCCACATTGGCGACTCACTCCAATGGCCATCTCGTCTTCTCCTTGCACAATGACTTGCCCACCGTGGTCCGCAGGTTCTGTGCGGGTTTTGCCTTGGCCGCTTGAATTCTGGTCATTTTGTCCAGTGCGCGTGCCCGAGCTTGCAGTGCATCAGTTCATCTTCGCCCAGCCTGCAGCTGCCGTCTGAGTGGGCCGGCCGGCGCGCCTGTTCTAGCCAATTAGCCTCGTTCGTGGCCCGGACGTTGCCTTTGCCGCCTGACCCTTGTCTCGTGGCCGCTGACCAAAAAAGTAATCCCACCAACCCATCCAGAAACGATGCCCACGCGAATTGCCCTGATCAGGCATGTGGTGGCGCACGCACCGCCCTCCATCTGTGAAGCTGTTTCCAATGTTTAAGCTTCAGAGACATAAATGGCTAGGAAATCTCAGGCGAAACGACCGGCCCGCCCTAAAAACGGGCCTCGGGGTGCGACAGGGAAAAATTATTCGTGAGGAAAAGGAATGGACAAGGAGGAGGAGGAAAAGGAGGAGGGCGAGCAGAAAGGCTACAGGCCTCTTGAACGCCTCTCGTAGTTTCTTCTGATGTCTCTGAGGGTTTCTCGTAGACCTCTTGGTGCCTCGTGGGGCCTCTTGGGGGGCTTGTGGCGGTCCCGGGTAACTTTTGAAGCGTCTTGGGTGCTTCGGGGGAGCCTCTTCGGGCTTCTTAGGGGTCTCTTGGGATTTTCTTAGGGGCCTCTTGGAGGCATCTTGGGGGCATCATGGAGGCTTCTTCGGGCCTCCTGTGCGCCTTTCGGGGCCCTCTTGGGGCACTCTTTGGAGCCTCAGGGTCCATCTTGGGGCCATCTTGGAAGGGATCGATCGAAGGAGGGGCCGTAGTAAATTCGCCCCCCCCCCCCCCCCCCCTACCTTCCCCCCGCCCCCCCCCCCTCTGAGGCCAACATGTGGCCAACTCCTATTGGTACAGTCCATGAGTTTGGCCTTCTCGCCGACGCCTCTTGGGGCGTCGTGGGTGCCTCTGGGGGACCTCTTGGGGCGTCTTGGAGATCTCTTGGAAGCCTCTTGGGAGCATCTTGGATGCATCTTGGGGGTTTCGTAGGTGCCTCCTGGGGCCTCCTGGGCACCTCTTGGGAACTTCGGGAGCCATTTGGAGGCCATCTTTGGAGGAAATCCATCAAAGGACGGGCCGTACTCAACCCATCTGGAGGCCAACATGTGGCCACAACCTTGGTAACATCAGTGTTTGTTGGGCCTTCTCGCCGAGGCCATGTTGGACGCTCTGACGACCCGCGCCCCCCCCCGCCCTGCAGACCCAGGGGCAGGGGACAGGGGCGGGGCAAACCCGTTCCTGCGGGGGGAAGAAGGGTTGTTGGAAGAGGAATCCCTAAACCACTCACTCCCAGAGGGCTGGTGGGATTCGTGCAGCGCACCTCCTCATCAGCATCGTCAGCACACTCGTCATCATCATCATCATCATATTCATCATCATCATCATCATCAGCACCATGATCATCATCAGCGTAATATTTGTCGTCGCCATCGTCAACACCATCACCATCGTCGACTTTATCACTGCCGCCGTCATTATCGTCGATGTCGTCGCCCTCGTCAACTTTCTGCGCGCGCGTGCACTTCTGATCATCACCAGCACCATCGTCATCAACATCGCCAACGTCATCGTTGCCACCTTCATTATCATCACCATCAGCATCATCACCATCACCATCGTCGTCGTCGCTGACATCGTTCCCACCGTTGTCGTGGACAGTGTCATCGTCGTTGTCACCGTCGCCGTCGCCACTATCGTCATCGTCATTTCGCGTTCTGCAGGACGGATTTGTCTGCGCGGTTGAGTTCCACTCGCGCGTGCGCTCGTTGTGAAAATGGTCCGATGAGTGTTGCCACCAAGTTGTGGGTGGGTGGGTGGGATGTTTACACGAGCATTGGAGATGGTCACGCGCGGATGTTGCGCTGTGGGTGAATTCTCCATTCTAAAAACAGAATAGACTCTACCCCCCCGGCGCTATCGGTCCCCATTTCGGGTATGTAAATCATATATGAATCTGACCACATGTCCATCCTAAATATGAATCTACATTATCCCCGGGGAACCGGTACAGGTCCCCCTGAGGTCCCCTTGTAAAAAACAATACGCGGGGACATTTTTTGTTCTAACAGAAAATTTGTTCACGAATCCCTTGCAAACAATGGGACGAAGTGCACACGCGCGCGTCGTCGCGCGCGCATGCCGAAATTCTTCAAAAACCTTCGGTGTTGGAAGGATTTCGCAACCGAGATTCCAAAAGAACATACAAAAACACAGGATTTCGCAACACTGATTTGCTACAAAAGCTTACGCGCGAAAGGTTTTTCAAGATTTTCACAAAATGCTACCAAACGGGCTTCGCGCGCGCGCATGTCGAAATCTGTCGAATGCCCTTGTGCGTGTGCCGTCGCGAGAATCCTCTGCAACAAAAAGGACGAAGTGCAGACGCGCGCGTCGTCGCGCGCGTCCTTCAAAACCCATCGGTTTCGGAAGGATTTCAAAATCGTGTATCCAAAGAACCTACAAAAACGCAAGGTTTCGCAACACTGATTTTCAACAAAAGCGTGCGAGCACGCTCTTGCGTCGTCGTCGTCGTCGTCGCCGTCCTCCCTCCTCCCGCGTCGTCGTCGTCGTCGCCTACGTCGTCCTCTGTCTTTCCTCGTGTTCGTCGTCGTCGTCGTCCTCTTTGGCGTCGTGGTCGTTTCCGTTGTCGTTGTCGCCGTCGTCGTCCTCCCTCCTCCCTCGTCGTCGTCGTCGTCGTCCGTCGTCGGCGTTGTCGTCGTCGTCCCTCCTATTTCATCGCCGTCGTCGTCGTTGTCGCCGTCGTCGTCGTCGTCTTCCCACCTCCCTAGTCGTTGTCGTCGGCGTCGCCGTCCTCCTTCTTCGTCGTTCGCGTCGTCGCCGTCCTCCCTCCTCCCTCGTCGTTGTCGTCGTTGTCGCCGTCGTCGTCCTTTCTACTCCCTCGTTGTCGTCGTCGTCTTCGTTGGCGACGTCGTCGTCGTCGTCGTCGTAGTCGTCGGCGTCGTCGGCGTCATCGTCGGCGTCGTCGTCGTAGTCGTCGGCGTCGTCGTCGTCGTCATCGGCGTCATCGTCGTCGTCACGTCCGGGCATCCGGGCACCCGGGCACCCGGGCACCCGTGGGGCGGGCACCCGGGCACCCGGGCGTGCAGCGAAAATCGGCGGCAAAATGAACCTAACAATATGAATCCGCTAGGACCCCTACAGAGGCAAGCTCTGATTGGTGAAAAACAAACAAAAACACAAGGTTTCGCAGCACAGATTCTCAAAAAAAACATGCGTGCTCTTGCGAAATCTTAAGAAAACCATAGGTTTTTCAAGATTTTCAGAAAATACTGCCAAACGGGCTTCGCGCGCGCATGTCGAAATCGCTCGAACGCCCTTGCGCGTGTGCCGTCGCGAGAATCCTCTGCAAAAATTGGGACGAAGTGCACGCGCGCGCGTCGTCGCGCGCGCATGCCGAAATCCTTCAAAAACTTTCGGTTTCGGAAGGATTTCAAAATCGAGTGTCCAAATAACATACAAAAACAAAGGGTTTCGCAACACGGATTTTCTTCAAAAGCGTGCGCGCGCGCTCTTGCGTCGTCGTCGTCGTCGTCGCCGTCCTCCCTCGTCCCTCGTCGTCGTTGTCGTCGCCGTCGTCGTCCTCTGTCTTTCCTCGTCGTCGTCGTCGTCCTCTTTGGCGTCGTGGTCGTTTCCGTCGTCGTTATCGCCGTGGTCGTCCTTCCTCCTCCCTCGTCATCGTCGTCGTCGTCGGTCGTCGGCGTCTCGTCGTCGTGCCTCCTATTTCGTCGCCGTCGTCGTCGTCGTCGCCGCCGCCGTCGTCGTCGTCGTCGTCTTCCCTCCTCCCTCGTCGTTGTCGTCGTCGGCGTCGCCGTCCTCCCTCCTTCTTCGTCGTTCGCGTCGTCGCCGTCCTTCCTTCTCCATCGTCGTTGTCGTTGTTGTCGCCGTCGTCGTCCTCCCTCCTCCCTTGTCGTCGTCGTCTTCGTCGTCATCGTCTTTGTCGTCGTCGTCGTCGTCGTCGTCGGCGTCGTCGTCGTCATCGTCGTCGTCGTCGGCGTCGGCGTCGTCGTCGTCGGCGTCGGCGTCGTCATCGTCGTCGGCGTCAGAGTCGGCGTCGGCGTCGTCGTCGTCGTCGTCGTCGTCGGTGTCGTCGTCGTCGTCGAAGTTGTCGGAGTCGTCGGCGTCGCCTTCGTAGTCGTCGTCGGCGTCGTCGTCGTCGTTGTCCCTGACGTCGTCGGCGTCGGTGTCCTTGCCAAGTGCCATTTGGTACCTACCGTCACGGTCTTAAGAGGTCTTGCTACCAAGTTGCGGGTGAGAGGGTGGGATGTTTGCACGAACAGTGGAGAGGACAGCTTCAAGACAGACAAAGTTAATTTCACCACATAGGTTGCACCACATAGATTGCGACACATGGCTTGCACTACATAAACTGCGCCACGGATGTTGCACCACGTAGGATGCATCACAGATCATGCACCACATAGATTGCACCACCTAGACTGCACCTCTAAATGCTGCACGCCCAGTTTGTGCAAGAAGGTACTGCTTGGGATCCACGCTGGCAAACATTCTTCGCGTTTGTCTCTGGAAGTGTTCGCAGCATCCCAGGGCGCGCTCAAAGTATGACCGCTCCCACTGCTCAATCGTCGTCGGCGTCGGCGTCGTCCCTGTCCTCCTCATCCTCCTCTGCCTCCTCTCCCCTCGGCCTCAGCTGACTGGCCCCCTTGAGAGGTGTTCTCGCCGTGGATCCCGCAGGCAAGCGTATGTACCCAGACCGAGCTGGCCAGAACCTCCTTCCGCCGCTGTGCACCGACGTCCCCCGGAGACCCGAGGAGGAGCCAGAAGCCATCCCGGCCCAAGCCGACTTGCATGGCTGGGGCCACGCGACAGAGGCCGCCGCGATGCGGCCTCGCGCGGCGGTTGCGCCCCTTCTGCTGACGCAGTGGCGCGCTGCCTGTCGCCCGGCCGCTCCCGCGGCGCCGGTCCGCGCGCGCACCGCCACGTGGCGGCCGCGCTCCCTGGCGGCTCGGCACGCCGGCGTGGCGGCGGCCAGTGCCGCGCTGGCCGCCCGGCGGGCCAGGTCGGAGGGCGTCAGCCCCACAGCTGCACCTGCACCGAGCTTGGCAGGGGCCCATGCTGGGCCCAGGTTCGGTGTGTGTATGCCTTCCTGCCGAAGCCAGGACGGCGTACACACCGATCCTCGGGCCCAGGACGAGCCCGGCCAGGAGCAGTGCAGGTGTATGGTTGTGGAAGTCGATTAACGGAGAGGAGGCATGCTGCCAAATAATTTCCAGATGTCTAAAACATGTTTCAAACATGTTTTAAAAATGTTAAAAACATGTTTGAAACGTTTTTAGAACATGCTTTACGCATTTTCAACACACCTTTAATTCAATGATAGGATTGTTAGAATGTCCATTGTCATGGCATCCACAAGTGTATGGTTGGCGTCCTCCTGCCAGGGGCAGGTGCCGGCGCATGCGGGTGGCGCTGGCGGAGGGCACCGAGGATCGGGCGCCGCCCGGTGGCCTGGACAGCGGCGGGGTGGCCACGGACACGGAGAGCGGTGTCGAGAGCAGCGCAGGTACCACGGAGGGCGACCGGCCGAGGCCGCTGGACCCGCGGCTGGCGGTTCTGGTGCTCGGGGCCGTGACGGTGCTGTGGGGCGCGCAGCATGCCACGATCAAGGCCACGCTCGAAGGCGCCGACGGCCTCGACGCCGCGGCGCTGAACCTGCTGCGGTTCGGGCTGGCCGCGGCGTGCTTCTCGCCGTGGCTGCCGGCCTTGTCGGGCGGCCCTCGCGCCAAGCTTGCTTGGCGTGGCGGAGCTGAGCTTGGCCTCTGGCTATTCCTCGGCTTCGGCCTCCAGTCGGCAGGTCTGCTGTACACCACGGCACAGCGCAGCGGGCTGCTGCTCTACCTCAACGTGAAGTTGGTTCCCTTCTTCGCGCTGTTCGTGTTCGGCAGAGAGGTGCCGCCCAACGCGTGGCTCTCCGCAGCAGCTGCGCTCTTCGGCACCCTTCTCGTCGCGGGCGATGACGCCAGCGGGGTGCCTCCCAACCTCGGAGACGCGCTCAGCTTGGCCGCCGCCTCGGCTTCGGCGATGTTCATCCTGCGGTTGGAGACCTTCGCGCCCGCCACGGACGCCAGGTCGCTCAATGCCGTGGGCATGCTCGCCGTTGCGGCGTTTTGTGTACCCTGGACCTTAGCGCAGGCTGCTTTGGCGGCGCCGCAGGAGCTCCTCCTTGGCCCACCAGGCGCCCTTGCTGGCTTCGCGCTCGGCGAAGCTTCGAGCCGCACAGCCGGCGTGCTGCAGGACCACTGGCCAGCAGTCATCTACTTGGGAATCGTCACCACGGCCTTCACGAACTGGCTGCAGACCATAGGTCAGCAGAGCGTGCCGGCAACCACCGCCTCGGTAATCTATGCTCTGGACCCCCTCTGGGGGTGCGTGTTCGCCTACCTCCTGCTGGGAGAGGTACTCGGGCCGCAGGGCCTCGCGGGCTGCGCGGTACTCCTGGGGGTGTGGGGGTGGCAGCTGCTGCAGGCGGAGGCGCCGCTGCGGGGGCGGCGCCGAGCCGAGGCGCAGCCAGTCGACTGCGAGCCGAACTGACGAGCGCCGAGGCAGCTGCGGCGGCCCAGAGCGACAGATGCTTTCTCTGTTTCAGGCGTCTCCTCCTCCTCCTCCTCCTCCTCCTCCTCCTCCTCCTCCTCCTCCTCCTCCTCCTCCTCCTCCTCCTCCTCCTCCTCCTCCTCCTCCTCCTCCTCCTCCTCCTCCTCCTCCTCCTCCTCCCCCTCCTCCTCCTCCTCCTCCTCCTCATCCTCCCGAGCGGCCGCAGCAGCGGTCTGGTCAGGGCTGTGCCTCCAGCACGCTCGGGAAAAGTCGCGCGGAGTCCGCGCCACTTTGCCGAGAAAATCTCAGACATCGGGCGTCTCGAAAAAATCGAGGCAGACGTTTTTCGTAGTTTTCGGCCTCTCGGAGCCCTCGCCGGGCCCCGGGACCGTCAAGCAACGATTCGGGACGAAAAGCCGGTCCTGGGGAAGCGGTCGGGAGGTCGGGGCCCGGCGTCTCGAAAAAATCGAGGCGTCGGATGTTTGGGGAGGGAGGGAGGGAGGGCAGGAGGGCGCGCCTGTCGGGCCGGGTTCCCCGCAACTTCGTGGCCTCTGCCTCGCGCAGGTGTTAATTAATGGAGGATGACGATTAATAAATGACCGGGGGTCGTGTTCACGCGGCGGCGCCCCGGGTGACGATTAGAAAAAACCGGCCCCGGGCTGGAAAACTATCGGAGAAAATATGTGTTTAATCGTTCTCTCCCATTCTTTTTATTAATCGTCATCCCGCATTACGCTATGCCAGGCAGTGAGGCGCTGTGCCAGGCCGTGCCTTGATCACAAGAGGCCGTGCAGTAACTCTCATGTCACGCCAAGGCTTGCGGTGCTGCTCAACGTCTGCCAGGCATTCGCCACGCTGTACCATGCTGCGGCTTGCCATGCCATGCTGCGCTACGCTATGCTATGTCTGATATTACGTGCTGCGCAAAGCTTCCATGCCATTATGCACATGGCAGCGCAATGCTCTGCAATGCTATGCACTTCGCTGATTCGCCATTGCTACATCGTAGAGCAGAGCAGAGTGGAAAAGAGCAACGTCCTGCCGAGTAGGATCGGGCAGAGTAAATGTGCACAGTGCAGTACAGGAGAGTCGAGTAGAGTTGGCCACTGCTGCCGAGGCGATCATTTCCACCCGCCCACCAAGCCATAACGCTTTACACTCAGTCGCAACACTTCGCATCAGAAGGCTCCTCCTGCATGCCAGAGGCCATGTCTGAAGTGAGCGCGCGCGCTCGCGTGCACGCGTGAAGAACTGAAGCCAGTCCACGCGCAAGGCCGCGGATCCGGATGAAGACCGATTTCGGCAAGCCCATCGCCATTGACGAATTCAGCCGAGAGTTGGACACACGTCATCTGCAAACCAGTAGCCACTGAGTTTGTCAGACGTGTGTGCGCAAATGTGCGCAGATATTAATGGCTGTATTATGTTAAGACGCGTGCGTGTATACTTCTGTGCATATCTGCGCACATCTTCGTCATACGAGAACGTCCACATGCACACCATGTGCCCTATTTCCTCGTAGTGTCTCGCTTTGGGGCTCCAGTCGTGTTCAACAACGGATCGGGGTCTCTCCCTGGGGGTCCTGGTGGCTGCGCCCGCGGCGCCGTCGCAGCGTCGGATAGCTGCGGACTTGTGATCTAACGAGCAGGAAGCTTGTTGACCGGCTGTGCCAACATGAGTCCAACATCCGTCCAAAAACATCAGTTACCCATAATTGCGCGGCGAAATCCAAACACGACCCTCGTCGACCAACGCTTCCGGCAATTCGAAGGGCGGCGGGGGTAGGGCTCAAATTGCATCGAAAACGTGGCGAAATCCGAACCCTCGCTTCCCATCGGTTCAGGAGAGTCGATTGGAGGCGGGGATCGGGTTTGGATGTCGCCACCTCTAACTGTGATGCGCACGCTATCAGTCAACATTGAACGTCTGTCTTTTTCAGACAAGCAATCGTGCGAAGATCTGCTCCGACATCAGAAGCCTTCCAGGCCCCCCTGGACCTTTGCAGCATTCCCTCCAGACCTTGGACACTCTCAGGACATTCTCATAGTTTCTCAGGATTTCTCGAGACCTCAGCAGCTCTCAGGACATTCCCCAGACTCTACCAGGACATGTTCAGCAACTTCCCAGGATTTGTTTCAGGACCCTCCCGGAACAAGTTTTCAGGACTTCCTGAGCAGCCTGTCAGGAGCATTTCGTGAGCTCCTTAGGAGCTTTCTAGTACTCTCCCGAGAACGACTAAAGAGTTTTTCAAGTGCCTATTCGAGCCTCTCGAAAGCCTCCTAAGGAGCCTCTCCCAGGACCCGCCAGGGACCCGGTCAGCAGCCTTTCAGGAGCAACTCAGCTTCCCGCTATTCGGGTGCTGTGATGGATGAGCGCGTAGCTTTTCTGCAACAGCGAAACGCTAGCACTCGCGTGGCCCGCACGGTCTGTCAGCAAGGCTCGTGCACAACATCAAAAAGTGATAAAAAAATGCGGGGCAGGTAAATGTAGTTAGAAACAGAATCTGCTTGGGCCAGACTTCGGCGCACACCGAGTGGTAGAGCATCATATGCGACATGGGGCCCAAAAGCTGTATGAACGGAAAACGCCTGGGCTGGATGCGGCCTTGTCTTACAATGTTCATTGTAAGGGTGTTTGGGTAGGCCACGCGGCCTCCGCCGTTGGGTGCGCGGCCTAAGTCTTTACATCGTATTGGCTATATGCAGCGTAAGGTTTCCTGTCATTGGCGCTTCGCCGTGCATGCATGATGCGCTTGTGTGCTTTCAGCCTGTCGTGCGTTTTCACAGTTCTCCGACCTCCTACATGTTTCGACACAGTCGTGCTTGCACTTGTGTAGGTTGTCTATAAGCTTCTTTTGGTTGCACGTCTGATGCTCATTTTGTTCGCACGCATCGGCGCATCGCGCGCCTCATATTTCACGCGCTTCTCGTTTGAATTGTTTCTGCTCACAAAGGCGGGGTACTAACCCGGTTTCGGCGACGTATATGTTTACATGTGTCGAGTTGCAGTGCTTCTAAGCTTTACAAATGTCCGTCTTTCCTCACGAGTGTCATCGTTATGTGGTTTGGGTGTTGCTTATCGCACGTCTCAGTTTCCTTATGTGCTTAAGCTGGTGTATCAATGTTTTCCCTGTTTCCTTACTTTCCAGTTAGCGTCATCGTCTTGCGCTGTTCTACATGTAGTGATGTTCGGGCCACGACGGTGTATCATCAAGGCCCAGGTCTGAGCACCACAGAGATGGGGAAGGGACGGGAGAGGACGAGGATAAGCGGCAAACAAAGGGCAGATGGAAGGAGGGAGAGGGGAAACTGGGAGAGGGAGGAGGAGCACGAGGGAGGGGATCATGAAGACGACGAGGAGAAGAGAGAGGAGGCAGCGGCGACAGCATTCTAGGAGAAGGGCCGAGGCCGACGACAAGGGTATGGCGACGAGGTGAGGGACGAGGGGAGGAGTCGGAGGAGGCGAAGGACGAGGCAGCCTGGGACCTGCTATCAGTGGCCGGCGCCGTGGGGACCAGGGGCAGGCCGCGCGCGGAGCGCGCGCGTGGCTCTCCCGACTGCATGCTGCCAGGCCTGCGCGGCCGAACTGCACCGCCCGCTCCCCCCCCCTCCCCCCTTCATCACCTCTGGTTATGAAGGGTTGACCCGGTAAGTGCATTCGAGCCGGTTCAGTCGTCAACGGGGGGGTGTTAGTGGTGGAGCGTTTCCGCCGTTATTCATCGTTCCAGGGGGGTCAATTTCGGTCGGACCCCCCGTCATTTCTCCCAAGTGGGGGGTCTGCCTGCGCGCGATTTGTCAGTTGTCGGCGTTGTATTGCCGGGGGTGATCCCCCGTCCGCGGCCGCCCTCCGTCTTCTCTCGCCCCTTGTGTGTGGCAGTTCGCGGCATCGCGGCCTGAATTTCGGCCCCCGGCTGTGCCGCACGATCGCCGGCGCCGCGGCAAGAGACGTGCCGTGATCACCGCATAGCTGGGCTCGCGGGCCATGCTGCAGGAAGCCCGCGTCCGCCTCCCGAGCGGGAGGCCACCAGCCCAGGGGGCGGTCCTGCTGCCCGAGCCGAAGATCTTCAGCCTTGGGTCGGGCATGTCCCTCTACAGGGGGAGTCTTCAAAAATAGCCTGGCGAAGGACCCAACCATATGCAGTTGTGAATGCCGCAATTGTGAATCTCATCTTCGCTTACGCTCCCTATGGGGCCACGAGCCGTGCGAGGGGGCGTGCCGAAATGCGTGGCGGGGTCCACAATACGAAGACAGACGGTCGGTCTGAGTGCGAGAGACTGAGAACGGGTGAGCCTGAGCGCGAGTGAATCTGATTGCGAATGAGTCTGCGTGCGAATCAGTCTACGTGCGTGAATGTCGACGCCCATGTCGGCACGCTCCTCACGAGGATCGCGCCCACTTCCCGTTTCCTTCCCTTTCTTTTTCTGCTTTTTTGCCCGTGCACGCCGATGTCCATGGCTGCGGGCGCGGCGCCGTACGGAGTCCCCGCGACGCACGACGGTCGCCCCAAAGGGGTCCCGGCGACGCGCGCGGGTCGTCCGCTGCGCGGAGCAGAGAAAGCTAGCTGGCTGGCTGATAGCGGGCAAGGCTGTGGCCGTTGGGCAGAGCGACGACGGAGGCGAGCGAGGTTCTGGGCAGAGCGCAGCGCGGAATTCCCGCGACGCGCGCTGGTCGCCCAGAGAAGGTCCCAGCGACGCGCACGTTTCGCCTGCGGCGCGAGGCCAAACAATCAGAGCGTCGAGAGACGGCGAGGCTCGGGCGGCCCGCTCCTCAGGTCAAGTCTCGCGGATAACCTTGGCGAAGCCCAGCTCCCTGGCGGGGCCGCCATGCGAGCTCCGCCACTGGGACCACAGGTGGAGCTCCCTATGAGGCCACGAAGCGTGTGAGGGGTGTGCCAAAACGGGGCGGGGCCGCCATGCGAGTTCCGCCACTGGGGTGGAGCTCCCTGTGGGGCCACGAAGCGTACGAGGTGTGCCAAAATGGGGCGAGGCCTCCATGCGAGCTCCGCCACTGGGACCTTAGGTGGAGCTCCCTATGGGGCCACGGAGCGTTTGAGGGGTGTGCCAAAATGGGGCGAGGCCGCCATGCGAGTTCCGCCACTGGGACCACAGGTGGAGCTCCCTATGGGGCCACGAAGCGTGTGAAGGGTGTTCAAAATTGGGCGAGGCCGCCATGCGAGATCCGCCACTGGAATCACAGGTGGAGCTCCTCTGGGACCACGAAGCGTGTGAAGGGTGTGCCAAAATTGGGCGAGGCCGCCATGCGAGCTCCGCCACTGGGACCTTAGGTGAAGCTCCCGATGGGGCCACGAAACGTGCGAGGGGTGTGCCACAATGGGGCGAGGCCGCCATGCGAGTTTCGCCACGAGGGGTGTGCCAAAATGGGGCGAGGCTGCAATGCGAGTTCCGCCACTGGGACTTTAGGTGGAGCTCCCTTTGGGGCCACGAAGCGTGTGAGGGGTGCGCCACAATGGGGCGAGGCCGCCATGCGAACTGCGCCAGTGGGACCTTAGGTGGAGCTCCCTATGGGGCCACGAAGCGTGTAAGGGGTGTGCCAAAATGGGGCGGTGGCGCCATGCGAGCTGCGCCAATGGAGCCGTAGTTGGAGCTCCCTATGGGGACACGAAACGCGTGAGGGGTGTGCCGACAGAGAGACACGCGGAGGGCAGAGGCAAGGAGGGGGAGGAGGGAGGAGGGGGAGGAGGAGAGGAGGAGGAGGAGAGACGCGGGGCGCTGTCTCTTCAAAACAAGGACCCAACACCACAAGATGGTTGGGAAGTATTCCCAGAATAGTCTGGGGACGTGTTTTTTGGGGGAACATATTGGGATTTGTGTTTTAATATTTTTCAGTTTTCGTTTAAGATCCGCCTGTAGGAGGACATGCCCAACCTGACTTTAGCCCCCTCCAGGGGGCGGCGCGATGCGGCGCGAGAGCGCGACTGTGATGCGCTGCCCCCGCGTCGCCACTGGACCAGGGCTCGCTGTCTGCACGACGCCACAGGAAGCTCGAGCATGGATTTCAAGGCGTGGACCATGGGCGGGTCCCACTCCCGAGCAGCATCGGCGCGGCGCGCTCCGCCGCCCCATCGGGCGACGGTGGCCTCCCATGACATTCGATGTGGTGCCCACGCTCCGGATCCACGGGTCCATCCATCATCCATGTCATCGCGCTCGCCCGAACAATGCAAGTGGTGGTCCATGGCGATGTGGTACGCGTTTCCAAACCCAAGGTGGGGGATGAGCAGCAGCAGCAGCAGCAGCAGCAGCAGCAGCAGCAGGGCGAGTCGGAGGGGAGCAGAGGAGAAGCAACGGAAGGATGAGAAGGAGGAGGGAAGAAGGGGTGTAGGAGACCTTCGCGTGCGCGCGAGTTCCAGGTTCTGGGCCGGCACGAGAGCCCAACGCGAGCATCGCCCACGGGATCGTGCCTGTGGCCCTTGGGGGCCGGCGAGCTTCTCGGGTGGCCGCGTCCCGGCCGCACATGGTCTCCCGACGCTGGCTGGGCCGCGGTTTTCGGGCCGCTCCCTACAGATCTATAGCTCGGGGAACCCATGCGTGGCCGAGGCTCGCCGTGGCCGGAAGAGATCTGTCAATCCTGACATTCAAGGGTTCGTCTCGGCAGCACAGTGGCTGCATTCCTGGCGGATGTGTCGCGGCTGCTGCGCGGGCAGCAGAGCGAACGAGCCGGGGCCCGTAGATTTTTGGCTCGGGATGGCGCCGTTCCGCAGCCATGGGCGCCGCGCTGGGAAGAGACGCCGGCCGCTCCCTGCGGAGGCTGCAGCTGTGGGCCAGGGGCACGGAGCTGTGGGCCCAGCAGTGGGCCGAGGCGGCCGGGGAGTTCGGCGACCTGCAGGCCCTGGCCTACGACGGGCCGGGCCCAAAGGCCGCCTACACGTACGCAGAGCTCGAGTCGCGCGCGAGAGGCGCTGAGAGGAGGGCGAGCTGAGACAGCGGCAGTTGGCCTTCGGGCCCCTCGTCGCCACGGCTGGACGCGGCTCGGAAAACCGGTGCGCTCGGACCCCCGGGAGAGGGGCCTGGGGAGTGGCGCGGAGCTGCCGTTGGCTCCACCCGCCCCGCGCCGAGGCGCAGCGAGGGGCCTGAGGCGGCTCTACGGCATTCGGCGCGGGGACAGGGTCGCCACCATCACCGAGAACCGGCCCGAGCAGGTGATACTGCTCATCGCCTGCCTGCAGCTGGGCGCCATCTTCGTGCCGCTGCCGCCGGACTTCCGGGCCTCGGAGTGCGCGCACTTCCTGCAGGTGCTGCAGCCGCGGCTCGTCGTGCTGCCGCCTGGCGGGGCACTGCCCCACGGGCCCGCAGGGGGAGGCAGCTGGCTGCCAGAGTGCATCCAGCTGCCCCTCGCGCCCCGGGCGGGCGCTGGCGCCTGGCACGAGCTCGAGTCCTGCGCGCTGCCGCAGGAGATCGCCGTGTCCGCGAGAGCGGGAGACTGCGGGCTCATCTTCACCAGCTCCGGCTCCACCGCCCTCCCGAAGTGCGTGATGCACAGCCAGCGCACGCTGGCGGCGATCGGGGCGGAGAAGAGGATCAACCAGGTGCTCTACGGCTCCGCCATCACGAATGGGCCTGGGTCTTCGCGACTGATCAACTCTGGGATCAGAGGCATCACGGCGACCTACGGGCTGCTCACCACGCTGCCCTACGGCGGGCGCGTGGTGATGGAAAACGTGTTCGGCAGCGAGAGCGGGCCTGCAGTCTGGGCCGACCTCATGCGCCAGCAGAAGATCAGCAAAGTCGTCCTCTTCGGCTCCTCGATGAGAAAACTCATCGCGGATTTGCCGGGCCAGCAGTTCCCGCTCGTGGCCAGCGTCGTTTACTCCGGCTGCTGCTTCCCGCCTTGCATGGTGCAGCAGGCGATGGCAATGTTCCCGCACGCCGAGTTTCTGCAGCCCTATTCGATGACGGAGATGCCACATATCACAGTCCTGCCCGCGCATCTGCACTGGTCCGACGCAAAGGACGAGGAGAGGCTGCGCGTCATGTCCTGTGCAGGCTTCCCCCACGGCTCGCGCGTGTGGCTGGAAGACCCCGGCGCTCCGGGCTCAGGCAGGGCCGTGCCGCTCGGCCTCGAGGGGCAGGTGTGCGTCAAGTCACCGACCATGATGATGGGCTACTACGGCGTCGGCGGGCTCGACCGCGAGCGAACCGCGGAGGTCGCTCCAGACGGCTACCTCCGCACCGGTGACCTGGGCGTGCTCGTGGCACCCGAGTCAGGCGGGGACCGGCCTTTGCTGAGGATCACCGGCCGCTTCAACGACTTCATCGCCCACATTGGGGGCAGGAACATCGCCCCGCGCGAGATCGAGGAGGTCGTCTTCCAGCTGTCGGGCCAGGTCGCGGACGTCTGCGTCGTGGGCCTTCCGCACCCCAGCGGCGCGGGCGAGGTGGTGGCCGCGTACGTGGTGACAAAGCCCGGCACATCTCTCACGCGGGCCCAGCTGGTGGAGCACTGCCGCCTGCAGGGCCTGTCGAGCTCCAGGACCCCGGAGCTCTGGCTCCTCCACAAGCATGGGCTTTCGGGTCTCCGCGCCGACAGCTTACGGTCGGGAGCATTTGCTCAGCGTGTCCCCCCGCCTGTTCTGGCCCACCACGGCTCGGCGCGACGCGCTGACCACTTGCCGGCTCCCAGGCGTGTCCAGAGCCCTCCGCAGCCTCCCGCCCCGCGGAGCGGAGCACGCTGCCAGCACGCCAGGCATGGCGCGTGTCACGGGGGCCGCTGCTGCGGCACGCTGAGCAGAGGCTCCCGGCTGCCTGCTCGTGTGCCGCGCCGCGCGCCGGGGAGGGATAGTCCGGCACGAATCCCAGAGGCCCGAGCGGAGCCCTGAAAGCTCCTGTTTGTTCGCGGTGGGAGGGAAGTCGGCCACACGCAGAGGGGGATGTGGGGGGAGGGGGCAAGGCTTCTTATACAGACGGGGCGCTGAGGAAGGAACCCTTTTCGTTGGGGAGGGGCTCGGTGTTCCTTAGTTGTTTTGCAGTTCGCCTTTGGTTTTGCTTAGGGTTTCGATGGGGGGGAATCGAAGTTTAACTTATGGGAAAAAGGGGCCTCGTTCCTTATTTAGGGTTCCTTAGGTCAACGCCTCGACTGTAAGCGCCCAGCTTCTTGGAAGGCGCGGGCCTTGTCTGTGGATGCAGGGCTGGCGCCTTCTAAGAAGCAGCCTCCTTCTGAGAAGCCTTCCCCCCTCCGCCCACTCGCCTCTGCGCGCCGCCAAACAGATCTTTGCAGCAACAGCGCCCGGACTAGAAATATTAGAATCTCCCCCTCCACCCCTGGCCTGACATTGGTGAGTACTGCGATCGAGATGCTACGCTCAAGATTATTACGGCCCCGTTTCTCGGGGAATGCCTGTTCCATGTTAAGGCCAGGGGATGGATGGGGGTCACGCGAAGTGGTTCCTCAACTCTTGTTGCAAAGTTGTTTCCTTCGACGGTGCCACGTTTTGTTCCTCCAGGTTCTTGCGTGGGAGCGAGCGACCGCTGCCGCTGGCGAACGGCAAGGCCTCCGCGCGGGCGCTGCGCTCTCTCGCCTGCGTCCAGGCCGATGATGATGATGATGATGATGATGATGATGATGATGATGATGGTGATGCTGCTGCTGCTGCTTATGATGATGATGCTGATGATGATGATGATGATAAAGAAGCAGCATAATACGAACATGATGTTGATAATGTTGCTGATGTTGATAATGATGATGTTGATGGCGATGGTGATGATGACGATGATGATGTTGATGTTGATGCTGATGCTGATGCTGATGTTGATGATGTTGATGATGATGATGATGGTGACGATGTTGATGATGAGGATGGTAATGATGATGATGATGATGATGATGATGATGATGATGATGGCAATGATGATGATGAGGAGGAGGAGGATTAGGATAAGGATAAGGATGTTGTTGTTGATGATGGTGATGCGGATGTTGATGTTGATTATAAGGAGGACGATGAGGATGATGATGACCATGATGATAATGGTCTGGATGATGATGTTGATAATGATGTTGATGCTGATGCTGATGTTGATGCTGGTGGCCTGATGCTGATGATGAGGATGATGATGATGATTTATGACGATTGTGACGATGTTGCTGTTGATGATGGTGATGATGTTGATGATTATGGCGATGATGATGTTGATGATTATGATGAGGATGAGGAGGATCATGAGAAGGAGGCTGAGGATTCGGCTGATGATGATATATGATGATGCTGATGATGATAATAAGTATGGTGATGATGATGATGCCAATGCTAATGCTAATGCTAGTGCTGCTGATGATGAGGAGGAGGATGAGGATGAGGATGAGGATGAGGATGATGATGATGATGATGATGATGATGATGATGATGATGATGATGATGATGATGATGATGATTACGATGCTGATGTTGATGCTGATGTTGATGCTGATGACATCATGCTGCTGCTGCTGCTGATGATGATGATGATGATGATGATGATGATGATAATGATGATGATGATGATGATGATGATGATGATGATGATGATGATGATGATGATGATGGTGATGATGGTGAGGAGGAGGAGGAGGACCAGTGTAAACCCAAGTCTCATCAACGATATTTGCATAATCACTCCCTCCAAGCTCCTTCATCACACGCTCCTGCAAGGGTTGATTTCACTGAGGGAACTGCCTCGTTGGGAGACTACCGTTTGAAGACCCTGAAGCATGCCAAAACACCGTTCTCGAGGCTCCAACGCACGAATCAACATGACTGTTGCGTCTTGGCGATCCAGAGTCTCGTCAGAGCACCATTCCTGGGCTTCAGCACCGCGAATCAACGTAACTGTTTCGCCCTCACAGTCCTGAGTGTTTCCAAAGTGCCATTTCTGGCACATCGACCATGGGAATCCATGAAAACCCTTGCACATGCTTAAGGCGAGTGCGCGCGGCGCTAAGGCAAGAGCCACATTTAAAGGAGCCGCCCTCAATCCGCGAAGCTCTGGCAAGTTATTCATGCGAATGCGCGTGGCGCTATGGCGAGAACCACATTTTGGAAACCACCCGCCCTCCATCCGTGTAGCTCTTGCATTTTGTTTTGACGCATGTGCGCGGCTCTAAGGCGAGAGCCATATTTTGAAAACCACCCGCCCTCAACCCGCGAAGCTCTTACAAACTGTTGAAACGAATGTGCGCGGCGATAAGGCGAGAGCCACATTTCGAAAATTGCCCTAATCCGTGAAACTCTTGCAAGCTGTTAAGGCGCATGTGTGTGGCACTGAGGCGAGAGCCACATTTTGGAAACCATCCGCCCTCAATGTGTGAAACCGTTGCCAATTTTGAACCTTCGGGATCATACCGCGCTTTCGACCTGCTTCGTTCGGGGCGAGAGCGACAGGGAGGAGTTGTTCTATTCATTCGAGAGGGGGCCGAACGGTCATTCACTGTCCTTGGGCGCGTGGTTGAAGTGAGGTTCTGCGGTGTGGATTGTTGTTGTTGTTTGTTGTTGTTGTTTGTTGCTTGTTGTTTGTTGTCGTCGTCCCCCCCGCGACCCGGCCCGCGACCCGCCCGCGACCCACCCGCGACCCGCCCGCGACCCGCCCGCGACCCAACTCGACCCATCGGCGATCCACCCGCGACACACCCGCGACCCACCCGCGACCCATCGGCGACCCAGCCGCGACCCAGCCGCGACCCACCCGTGACCCACCCGCGACACACCCACATTGCTTGAACGAAAGAATCGGCGCCTGCGGCGGGCTCGTTGCATGTAAAAAGTTAGGCGCCTTCGGCGGGCTTCTTAATAGCCTCGCAGACTGCCGACGTCCCCTCCGCCCCGTCACTCTTATCCGCAACTGCGGGGTGCTACGGTGAGGAATCGAGGAGGAGGAGGAGGAGGAGGAGGAGGAGAAGGACGAGGACGAGAAGGAGGAGGAGGAGGAGGAGAAGGAGGAGAAGGACGAGGACGAGGAGGAGGATGAGGAGGAGGAGGAGGAGGAGGAGGAGGACGAGGAGGACGAGGAGGACGAGGACGAGCCTCCGCGCGGGCGCTGCGCTCCCTCGCGTGCGTACAGGCCGAGGCCCGCCAGCTCGCGCGCGGCGACCTCCTGCGCCGCCCGGCTGCCGCAGCGGCGGACGCCTCCGCGGAACCCTGGGCCGCGCAGGCACGCGCGGTGCTGAGCTCGGCGGGGGACGGCCGGAGGAACAAAAGCCGGCATGAGCATACAGCAGGTGCCCATGCCAAGAAGCACCTTGCTTGCCTCCAGGGTGCCCCTGCGTTGGGTTTCGATGGTTTTGCGATGGAAAGCGTAACGTCCCCACACCAGAAATCGATGGATGTCCTGGGGGTTCAGGGTTGTGTTTCTCGTGGAAGGCTTCTTGTGGTCGGGTCCTGCTGTGCGAGGTTCGGGTCGGAGCACGCGTAATGGGGAGGCGATACATGGGGGGGGGTGCAGCGAGAGCTGCAGGACATGGGCTCCCTAGGGTCCCTGAAGGGGCCCTTTAAGGCCCACGAGGGGGCCTTCAGGGCCCGAGATGGGCACCTTTCCCTCCCCCCCCCATTTATCTCGGAGGTGGATAGACCTCCTACCCTGACACGTCGACCAAGGGGAGGTTTGCTCAAGGGGAGGTTTACTAAAGAGAGGTTTGTCCACCGCCGATTCGCGCCCCCATCGAGCGCCGCCCAATCGAGGTTGTCGGACGTGGTCGTCGGTCCCAGCGGCTGTGCAGCCTCGGTATGCACTCCAGCGGCTGCGCCTCGCCGAGAGCTTTCGGGGGGTGTCCGAATCGTCCCGAACAACCGCTGGAGAGTCGAGTTATGACCCGACAGCCAGAGGGAGCCCAGAGTTGGGTCATGACAAAATCGCGATGCATCGGAGGTTTTTGGCTATGTTCGGCCTCTGGGGGCCCTTGTCAGACCGTGAGGCCGTCGAAGCACGACTTTGAACGAGAAGCCGGTCCCGGGGAAGGGGTCCAGACCTTTTGGGGATCCGCGTCGTGAAACAAAATCACGACGCCGGGGGCCTGGGAGCGGCACGGGCGGGATTTCTCGGAGCTCCGCGCGCAGCTCTCGGATCCGTGCACGGAGCCCTCCGGTCGGCGGCGCGCTCCGCGCGCCATGGGTGGGGGGCCCCGCGCCGATCCCAGACGTCCGCGCAGGCCTCCGAAGGTTGATGCTCGGGCCCGTCGGTTCTCCGCGTGTCCTGCCCGCGCCCATGGCGTGCTCCGCGAGCCTGCCGGAGGCTCCCGCGGAGCGGCGCGGCGCGCGGAGTGCCGAGAGGGGTGCTGCCTTCGTGCCGGCCTTTTGGTGTTCCTCCCACGGCGGGCCCGCCCTGCTGCTGGGCCTCTCGGAGGGGGCGGGCGGCGCGGAGGAGGGGCTGGCCCCGTGGGCCCCGGGCGCCCCGCAGCGGCAGCCCGGCCAGGGCCCCGATGCTGCGGCGGAGCTGCGGCGCTGGCCCTCCGGTGCGGTCGAAGCGGGGACGGGAGGAGTCCAGGCCTCCAGTCGGGCCGAACGAAAGGGGGGGATTGGGAAAGGGGGGGGGTACGAAATTTGCTGCATGCAGCTGGTTTCGGCCCCACCGAGGGGCCCATTCCTCGATACATGGCCGCCTCCCGTCGCCGGGAGGCGCCGGGAAAGTTAGCTCCGTGAGCTGATTCTCAAACCCCTCCTTGGCTATCCCCCCCTTTCGCCCGGCCCGATCCAAGCCGCTGGCAGAAGCAAAAGACGAGGGGGTTTGCGTCGTGTTCGGCGTCCCCGGGGACCCGTGCCGGGCCCCGGGACTGTCAGAAGACGGCGCGGGCCGCGGGGCGAGCAGCAGGTCCCCGGGAGGTGGTCCAGCGCTTCGGGGGCCCAGTCTTGAGAAAGCAAGTCGTCGGAGGGCTGTGGGAGGCGGCGCGAGGGCCCGCAGCAGTTCCCGCCCAGACGGAACAGTACTCGCTGTCGGTGTGGCCGCGGGCCGCTGCGCACCTGCGGCAAGCAGTCGCCTGCCCAGTGGCAGCCGCTGTCGGTCTTGGGCAGTGTCTGCTGGTGTGCCTCGTGCCCTCTCTTCCCGTACCCAGCTCGGGAGTGCCGAGGCTCGGGCTCGTGCTCGCCGTTGGCGACGAGCACCGCAGCACCTTCCTGCTGGCGTGCCAGAGCATAGTGGCCATGCTGTATCGGAGCGGGCGCGTGAAGGCGCTCGCGGACGTCGCTGCAGAAAGAGAGGCTCCCCGAAGTTCGGCCAGGGTCAGGGTCAGTTACTCTTCTTGTCAGGGTCAGTTACTCTTCTTGTCAGGGTCAGTTACTCTTCTTGTCAGGGTCGGGGCCCGAACGTGGCGCAGCGGCAAGGGTCAGTTACTCTCTTCTTGCCAGGGGAGGCCTGCCCGGGAGCTGGCCCGGGACCCCGCCTGGCACAGCTCTGGCTCCGCACACGGCCGAGCGTGGCGCACCCCGATCGTGGCAGGCTCGAAGACGAGCGGGGGCCCCGGCCTTCTCAGGAGGCGGCGGGGCTTCTCAGCGGTCCTCCGGCGCTCTGAGGAGCCGCCAGTGCCTTGGGAGAATCGGAGGTGGACAGACCTCCTACCCTGACGCGTCGATTAGGGAATTGGCCGTTTTCGGTTCGCGAGAGGGCGTCGCGGCCGCCGTTTTTGCGGGTCCAGGTGCGTCGATTTCGGCCCTGGGTCGTTTTCACTAAGGGGAGGTTTACTTAAGGGAGGTGTGTCCACCGCCGAGAGAAGGCCTACTTAGGGAGCTGTTCAGAAGACCGTTGGCCTTCTGAGCCTTTTGCGAGGGCACGCCCCCTCTGCCTTGCTCCCGGGGCCTGCCGCAGACAGCTCGAGCACGAGATCGACGACAGGAAAGATTGACCCCCGGATTGTTTTCTCGTCGACTCTACCAAACATACAGTCGGGGCGTTGACCTAAGGAACGAAAAATAAGGAACGAGGCCCCTTTTTCCCATACATTAAACTCCGATGTTCCATGGAAAACCTCAGGCAAACTTAAGGAGCACTGTTAAGCAACTAAGGAACACGGAGCCCCTCCCAAACAAAAAGGGTTCCTTCTGCAGGGCCCCGACTGTAATTACGAAGAACGCTCCGTAGATCTACGGAGCATTCTGCGTATCTTATGTAGCCTCGACGGAAAATCAATCTTAGGGCACATCAGTTCTGCAGTGCATCCCTTCTAGCCATTTGGCTCCAAGGCGTCCGAGAGGTCCTGGGCGCCGGCCAGCCGGCGGGGCCGGCGCTAGGGGAACGAACAACGACATAAATATATAGATTCGGAGGTCCGCGCGGATTTCTGGGATCGGCGCTGAAGACCCCTGGCGGCGCCTCCGGAGCCGCCCCATGGCGCGCTCCGCGCGCCAGGGAGGGGGTCCAGCGCCGATCCGAGAAATCCGCGCGGCCCTCCGAGTTTCTGTCTGCTTCTGACACCGTCTGTTTCCCTACGGCGCGCGCGCGCGCCCGCGCATGGCGCGAGAGCCCGCAGCAGACGGCCCGTCGCAGGGCCGGCGGGCCTCGCTGCGCCGGCCGCCGCCGCGCGCGCCAGCGGCGGCGCCGGCGGGCCGGCGCGTGCCGGCGGCGCCGCCGAGGGCGCGGTCGGCGGGTCGCAGGACAGAGGAGGAGGAGGAGGAGGGAGGAGGAGGAGGAGGAGGAGGGAGGAGGAGGAGGAGGAGGAGGGAGGAGGAGGAGGAGGAGGAGGAGGAGAACGAGGAGGAGGAGGAGAACGAGGAGGAGGAGAACGAGGAGGAAGACGAGGAGGAGGAGGAGGAGGAGGAGGAGGAGGAGGAGGACGAGGAGGAGGAGGACGAGGACGAGGAGGAAGAGGAGGAGAAGAAGGAGGAGGAGGAGGAGGAGGAGGAGGAGGAGAGGTACCCCTTGGCGCTGCCATGCCCTCGTGTTCCCCTCTTTTGGACCTCCTGGGAGGCCCTCGTCGCTACCGCCGGATTCTCTTCGAAAAAATGGGTCAGAACGCGCCCCAGGAGAGGCCCAGGGAGTAGCGGCACCGGTACCTTTTGGGTGCACCCAGCAGGGGCAGGATCGGCTACGCGTGGGAGTGGCCCTGGGCCCGAGGCACAGTGGTCCGCCGCGCACTGGCTTGCGCGCCTGTTGGGTTGCCTGGATTTGCCCTCCCCCGCGGCCCCCCAGAGGCCGCGCACCAGCGGCCACTCCTGCCCACAGACCCCTCCTTGCGTCTAGCCGGCAGGAGGCCGCCCCCCTCTCGGGCCGGACGAAGGGGGGGGATTGGGAAAGGGGGGGGTACGAAATTTGCTGCATGCAGCTGGTTTCGGCCCCACCGAGGGGCCCCTGCCTCGATTTCATGGCCGCCTCCGGCGCCGGGAGGCGCCGGGAGAGTCAGCTATACGTGAGCTGATTCTTAAGCCCCCCCCCTTTGCTATCCCCGCCTTTCGCCCGGCCCGACCCTCGCCGAGGGCGCGGGCCATCGGTGGCAGCAGGGCGCTCCTCCTCCTCCTCCTCCTCCTCCTCCTCCTCCTCCTCCTCCTCCTCCTCCTCCTACGCTGGGCTCCTCCTTTTCCTCCTCCTCCTCGTCCTCGTCCTCGTCCTCGTCCTCCTCGTCCTCGTCCTCGTTGGCAGCAGGGCGCGGGCGCTGGCCTCCCGGCGGGCGCCGCGGGCAGCCCGCCGCCCAGGGCGGTGCGCGGCGGGCTCTGCCTCGCAGCCGCCCTGGCTGCCGCGGGCCTGGCGCGGGCGGCGCGGGGGCGGTGGAGGGGCCGCGGAGGCCCGCCGCCCCAGG